TCTAATCTGAGTTTTAGAAAAATGTACAAAAATTATTCCAGTTATTTAGAAGTGTTAGGTTGGCTAATAAATAATTTCGGCTGCTTCTGCGGCTTCATAAATCTAGCAAATTTTGTCCAATGTTGAGTTTCACTAGAAAGAGAATTTCATTGCAAATTGGTATGTAGATTCTGTTTGAGTGGAATTTATTTATTTGTGAAGGAAATGCGCAAAGAAGTATAATAAGCCAATTTTCTCATAGCGCGTAAATGTAAAAAAAATTTTTTTCAACCAAGGAATCTCGAAATGGCAGGTCACAATCATTGATGATACTCGCTGTATAGAAGAAACTTGTGTGGATTTATTAAAATCACTCCTACTGTAACACGGCCTGAAAACGAAGCTTAGAAAGTCAAGGAACTGCGCCTTCGGAAATAGCCATAATGGGGCATAATTGTTCTCTACTGATGGTAGAAAATCCTGAATAGCTGATATATAATAATAGAAGCTCTAATCTACTTTCCGTCAAAAGTCCAAGGATGAAAAACAAAGAGTAAAGTCTTTAGCATGCTAAAACAGAATTAATTTCTAGCCACCCTTAAACAAAGTCACTTGCACCTTTTTATAAGGCATGTTAATAACTTTCAAACACTTCGCGGTTCACTCCGCGGTACGCCATTGAGTACATCGTTTATTTGCGTACTATCTCCCGCTTAGGCAACTGAACCAGCACTAAAATAAATCTATAAATTTACGAATTCATACATAGCGTGCTTATAATTACATGTACAGATAAGATGCGTACTAATCCAGAAGTGCCGAGGTCTCGAACTGAGCCATTTGCTGGAACTGTTCCCGAACTTCCGGATCAGTATGAACACAGCCTAGGAAATCTCTGACCTATAGGAGTGCACGTGATTAAGTTGCGAAAAAGGCAAACTACTCAAGTGCGATGTTCTGACTTTGCAAAATACTTGAATTTGATTTTCAAAGTCAGTCAACTGATTGTTACAGCAGCTCGCCGAAAGGCAAATGAAATCGGGGTGCATAAGCTTGCTCCCCAGTGCTGCAACTGAGCTCTTGCTTCGTTTCGGAAATATGCACACATAGACGATTTCACCATTCGCGTGAACGCTTTTTACGCACTGATAACGCCATTTGGTATCTTCGTGAAGCTAGCGATTGCGAAACTTTCCCTTCACTATTTGCTTTCCATGCAGAAGCATAATGTCCAACTCGTTTCCTCCACCTGCTCAAAACATGCAGCCCTACCTGTACTGGGTACAACAATTTTGAGTACTTTTTCTTATTCTTAAGAACTATCCATATTTTGCTGTTTTACTTTTGCTCTTTGACTATCTTTCTGCATATTCCAAGTTAGAAACAGCACTGGCTTTCAAATCTCGGTTGATTTACGAATCGCGCTTGCATTCAGATTTGAGTGATAATGAAAGGGAAACATAAGTAGGCTGCATCATCGGAGGCAAGCTAAGTATAGATACTACAATACGAATGAAGCACTTGCTAGTTTGCGATAAGTTGTGAATTGCTCATTTGCGATGAACGTTTTACAAATAAATTCCTCTCAAGTAAGCCGTTTTCAAGGATACCTTATGATTGTTTTCGAGTAATGATATCGAGCCTCTAGCAAGCACTAACAAGGCTTCAGAAGCACTCCCTCATTTTTTAATTTATAGGCTGAATGATTTTATGCTGCAAAGCCGGTGCTGCTATTAGGTAGTCCCGAAAATTTTGTCCGTTTTTTTCATCGCTCACTAAAACTCACAGAATACCAATCCATGGACATTTAGGTACTACTTGATTCAAATTTTTATCCTCCTTCTTACAGCTACGTTTGCTCTCTGATCCACTCTGTCTTTGCAATGTTATCGCTACGGCTTTCTGAGCAGCTCAGAAGAAACGCCAAATCTTTACTGAATTTTGAAAATTTTCATCCTGATGTCTTTAAAGAGCGCTGAAATTGTTATGTAGAGCAAGCCTTCGCCTACATTGCACCCATTTTGGATTACATGGGCCATGTTTACCAAGCTCGTTGTAGTTATTTGTTTGATGAGAACCACGGCTTTTTGGTTACGTTTACCAAAGTAACGAAAATCAAAGCAAATCTGGCTTGGTTATTTTGCATGAATAATGTTTAATAAGAATCAGGTTTCACTTCGCAGAAACTTCAAAGGCTTTCGTGTATTTGCTGCGTTTGCGTGTTTCATGACTTTGCCAAAAATCGAGACCTCCGAAAAAATAATTTTTGAAGCTAAAAACAGCAGACTAGGAGAAACTAAAAATACTATCTTGTAGTCCGAGAATTTTGTATTCTATTTGATCCATGCTTAACCCTTTCCGAAATTTGTAATGAAATTCTTAAAAATTAGCCTTGAGCAGATAAAATTGACGGGTGAAGAATATTGGCAATTATCAAGAAGAGCATGCGAGAAGGGCATAAGATTGTTACATGTATTTATAAGAAAGAGAATGAAAAGCTGCATCGAATGCATGTTTGAACTCATTCAGGTCTTTATGCGTGGTTTTACAATGGTTTGAAAAAACCGACAAAACTTTCGGGACAGCCTAATATATTGACCGCTTTTGTTGCGCAATAAGTCATTTAGCCTTGAGATTTCTCATGTATGTTGTGAGTTGCTATTAGGTTGGCTCGAAAGTTCTGGGACATTTTCGAACTAGATCTGCTATTTCTTGAAACCTAATGCATATACATCAGATTGAGGTACCATTCGATAGAGCAAAGCAAGCTCTACAAGACGGCATGCGAAAGTTCGCACCAGCTTCAATCCACCATAAGTTTGCACCCAAATTCTGAGTTGTACTGAAATTCAAAAAATCGCGAAAAATTCATATCTTTGTTCAAACAAATCCTACGGATCTCCAACTTGCTCACAAATATTGCACACCATATCGGACACTCATATTCACCGTTCCTGTATTTGTTCCTCATCTGGAAATCGAGAAAACGAAAATTTTCGTACTTATATAAAAACGAAGCTGTGCAGTTTCCATTCATGTAATTGAATGATACAAGCCCTTAGAAGTATAACCGTAAATTTTCAGCTTTCTACAGGCCGTAGTTCCCGGAAATAACCGAATTGAACTCTCCTCACTCAGGCGTTCCATGCTAAAATCAATTTTTTTCGACAACTAGGGCTTACGGAAAGCTGAAAACTTACGGTTATACTTCTAAGGGCTTGTACTATTCAATTGCATGAATGGAATCAGTACAGTTTCGTTTTTATAGAAGTACGAAAATTTTCGTTTTCTCGATTTCCAGATGAGGAAAAAATACAGAAATGGTGCGTATGAGTGTCTGATTTGGTGTCAATTTTTGTGAGCAAGTTGGAGATTCGTAGGATTTGTTTGAACAAAGATATGAATTTTTCGCGATTTTTTGAACTTTAGTACAACTCAGATTTTGGGTGCAAACTTATGGTGGATTGAAGCTGGTGCGAACTTTCGCATGCCATCTTGTAGAGCCTGCTTTGCTCTATCGAATGGTACCTCAATCTGATGTATTTGCTCTAGGTTTCAGAAAATAACACATTTAATTCGAAAACGTCCCAGAACTTTCGAGCCAACCTAATATATTGAGGTCAAAAGCTGTTTCTCATAACAAAGTCTAGGTGTGTCTCTTAGGGCTTGCACTTTCTACCAGTTACTTGGAAGTCTTCGGAGGGTTGGTAAAATTTAGGAAGATGGCAAACCTTGACCTTCTCAAAAAAGCATGGGTTTCAAATTTTTGCGATTCTTCATGAGTTCTTCATTGCATTGCAATAAAAGCATAACCGTATAATAGAGAAGGAGAATATGCATTGAATGACACCCTTTCATAAATGTTTACACTGGAAATTGTGGCAGCTGTTCACATATGAACAAAAATACTTTCGGGACTATTTTCTTGTACCATGCAGTTTCTTAGAGGTATAAGCAAACTCTGTTGAAAATAATGGCAATTTGTTCCCTTGTTTTTCTAGCAGTCAGCGTTCATCGGTTCTTTTTATCCGTAGGCCCCGGAATTGTGCATTTTCGCGCTCTTGGCGTCTGTGAGATTACATCACCTTCAGTGTTGCATAGGCGCCGGGCATATCTCTCGCGATTTCAGTCGCCATGCGATTTGGCCCTTTGCCAGGTCTATTCGAATTCAAACACTTGCAGATCACAAACGCTTAGTGTATTTAGCTTTCGTGACTCGATAAATCATGCTACTTTACGTGTGGTCAGATTGAGTTCGCGACGAGTTATAAGCAACTGGAGTATTGCGAAGTTGCGCCGCGACTGAAATCGCGTGAATTATGCCCGGGGCCTAAAATACTCAAGCGCAACTCACGGAATGTTTGTCGACTAGCTTTGCACACTGTCTGCGTCAGTTCAACTTCTTACCGAAAAGCCTTCTGCCTGTTAAACTTGCCCTTTCAAAGCTTGGGAAGGTGGGCGGCGGTCGCTAGCTCAGTCGTTCTGACCAGAAGGTGAGGGGGTGAGAGGATCAGCTAAGTTCATCTAAGCTGACTCGATGCTTATTACGGGCCTTAATCCCTTAGCACGTATCGGTAGCCTCAACTCTATATATAAGTACTTAGCAGTGGCGGTCCCAGGATTTCACGAAGAGGGAGGAGGGCGCGACAAAAAACTTTTCCTCCGAAAAAAGTTTTGTCGGTCCCCAACCCCTAGAATTTGGGAAAAGGGGGCGTGGCTGACGGTAAACGGTAAAAAAATTTTTTTTCGGGGTCTGACGTCAATTTTTTAAAATTTTTTAAAAATTTCGCGACCCATCCCTCCCCCCCCCCTCCCCTCGGTCCGCCACTGGTACCTGGAGAAGTTGCTTTTACTCTTTGTATGAACATTTAGACAAGATGTCAAGAAACTGTATGGTCATGTTCCTAAAAGAAGCTCAAGTCTGTTGTAATTGGAAAAGACTTCGTGTATCGAAAAAATTGCAGCGCTTTACAAGCAACGTTATTTGCACTCTACTACAAAAAAGTGTGATTGAGTATTTCAGATGAAGTGCAGCATACGGCTGTAAATTTTGAAGTCAATGTGCATGAGAGGACGTTGTCTGGCCAGGAGACGGCTCACAACACAGTCTAAAGCTCCTAGTACAGAGTCCATGTTTGATCCAAACCTCGTGTTTCTCAGTTACAGGTTTGCATACATGTTTCTCCCGAATCAAGCTTGATTATGCCCAACAATAGGCCAAAAATGCTTTTTCATTGGTGGACTCTAGTGGTCTAGATAATGAGATGATTTGAGCTAAACATGCAATTTTCTGCTGATTTCTCAAGTCATGCAAAAGTGTTGACTTTTGTCTGGTTTTGTTGATATGTTTCGACAAAAAAGCACCATCTATCTGCAAAAATCAAAGCAGGGAAGGGGCCAACAAGTGCCATAGGGAAAGCGCGTCTTTAGTTCTTCAGTGTTATGCGCGGAAGGCGAAAAACGACAAGGGGCATTTTCCCGTGACCGCTTATGCGGCAACTGCCTGAGGCGTAAGCTCTCTTTAAGCAAGATGCTGAATGAACCTATAGTATACACATATCGCTATCATATCTCCGGAATTCCGCGACGTCCCGGGAATTTCTCGGAATTTTCGGATTATCGGGCAAAATTTACTTCGGAATGCATGAATTCTGGATCTGAGAGAAGGGTTATACTCAGGGTCAAGCGTGGGGTGCGGCACGCCACACCTGGGGGGTCGTATTGAGGAGTTAAAAGGGGATGGGGTCGTAGTTGGGTAATCTGATAATAGTGATAACATGATATTCATATCCTATCCATAATTAGCATGTCAATTAGCCCCTGTAGACAAAGTTTGAGCGAATTCTGAAGATTCAAGATACTAGGCCGCCGCAGCTTTTAAGGAGGTGTGCCGCACCCCATTAACTATATCAAAAAACATTTTTAGCAAATTATTTATATGAATCGATAGCCTAGATTTCCTAGTTTTCACGGAAGTGATTTGAGCCTGATTCGTTCTTTGCTCTGAGTGATATTTGGTGAAAGCACTGCCATTAAAAGCGAAAAATGGGAATAATGAGATTTTGGTTGGCTTCTAATTCCACAATTTGGAGGTCTTTTGAAGCGGGATTTCTGAGGTGGACAGAGAAGGGGTAGTGCTTTGTCTTGAGTGCAAAAACGGATAGCTAATTCACCTTTGAAACAAGTTAACCATGTTGGAATTTGACCATTTCACTTAGGTAGTCTAGTATCTTGAATCTTCAGAATTCGCTCACACTTTGTCTACAGGGGTTATTTGATATGCTAATTATGGGTATGTTGCCATTATGTTTGACAGGGCCTTCAAGTAATACTATCTTAAGTGTATAATTCAGGGGAGGGGGTCTTATCAAGACAGCAATCAGGGGGGGGGGGGGGGTCGTAACCAGCGAGCGTATGCCACACCCCTTGCTTGACCCTGGTTATACTCAGCTTACTAAGGCATATTTTTTGGCTTATCGCGTTGCAGCAGTTCTCTAGGTACGGTGGATGTACGGCAGTAAGTGTACTCTTTTGCGGTTTTCCTGGATTTCTAGGGGAGGGGGGGGGGGGGAGTGATTAATGGTATTGGTCGTGGTTGATTTGAAAAAATGAGAACATATCGTGATGATTCTGTCGATCTTGTTTTTCGCCTTCTCTATTTGTTTAGTAGCTTCAAATACCTATTTATTATAAAAGAGCCAGTGAGTGTACGAGTACAAGACATGAATATTGTGTTCATCTAGCACCTCCCCTCCCCAAGAAGCAAATTCATCTCCTACCGGACGCCCACCGTACCCCGAGAGTTACGTAAGTCGAGGTTACAAAAGATTTGCCTCAATGAGCTAAGAATAATCCTTCTTTCAAATCCAGAATTCATTCATTCCGAGGGAAGTTATGACGATATTCCGAAATTTTCGCGAAATTCCCAGAAATGTCGCGACATTCTGAGAATTGTGCGACGTTCAAGGAAATTTTGCACGTTCTGGGAGTGGTGGTGTTTATATGACAATTAGGCCCGTATGCACATACATCCCCGCGGGGAGGGGAGGGGATCTGAGAGGGGAAGCGTTATATCTCGCTAGTTTATATGCCTTTCTTCTTTTTTCTCTGTCTTGCTTTTGAAGGCTCTCATACACTGATACCTGCGCATAACGGATGCCAGGTTATTACGAGTTAGATTAGATATTCAATACTTTGTCTGATCCCCCGGGGATCGCCAGGGCATCACCCCACATTTTCAAAGTCATTTATCTTCCTGAAAACTCAATAAAAAATTTAAAGATGGTACTGAGGATATACTACAGCACTGCTAAACATGTTTGCGGTAGAAGTGAGTGGAATTTCAAGATATCAAAATCTTCGATGAACTGCTGCTCGCGAGCCAGGGATTATCGAAAAAATCGAAATCTTCACATTCCATTTCTTCTGTCGAAAATATGTTCAGCAGTATCGTAGTATATCTTCAGTACATTTTGCGGCGTCTTCATTGAGTTTTCAGGAAGATAAATGACTTTGAAAATGTGAGGTGATCCCATCCCCTGGGGTTCCCCAGGGGATCAGACGAAATAGTGATTATCTAATCTTGTATGGCAGTGACCTGGCATCCGTTATGCGCAGTATCAGTGTATGAGAAACTTCACAAGCAAGATAGAGAAGGAAGAAGAAAGATATGTAGACTAGCGAGATATGACGCTTCCCCTCTCAGATCCCCTCCCCTCCCCGCGGGGATGTACGTGCATACGGGCTTTAGTATGAAGGAAGGCTACATAGAAATGTAAGCGCTACGATGGTAGAGGTTGAATGAAATTAAACCTGTTCAAGCTCTCAAAATGGTTTCAAAAATGTATTATACTATAGCTCTTAACGAGGTGGTTTTCTTTGAAACGTTGGAATTCTGAAACCAACCGAATTGGTTTATGAAATTTTCCTTGAAAGTCAGAAATTTCTCAAAATGATTGCAGAGATCCGAACTATGTCGTATCTAACAATAGCCCGAGGCTGAATAGATCACCGTTAACAGAGGAAGAGATGAAAGCTAGTCCGTTTGGCAAGTATCTGGTCAGTATAGCAATGATGATTACTTGTTTTTAGCATATATCGCCCTTGAAAACAATGTCAAGTTTGCAGATACGTTTGTGACTAGTGTGACTTTGAAACTAGTGCGTACTAGTTTCAAATACCGTATGCCAAAATTAGCCCGTTCGCTTTGCAACTTCACGCACAGGCCACGCGGCACGACAAATCGCCACCACTTCGCGCTTATCGATGTGACGCTTAGCCTAGCCGCGTGGCCTGCGCGTGACGTCGCAGTGCGGACGAACCAATTTTGGCACGGTATTTGAGACAGGTACGCAGTGACACAGATTATAGCTGGCATTAGCAAAAACTGCGATGAAAAAAACTGCAAAGATGCGCTGGATTAATTGAGCATGGCCATTGAAGGAAAAAAGTAAAAACTTACTTTTAATCCTGTTTATTTGTCATTATCCAGCGTCTGTTAGCAAGCAAAATAGATCTTTTATTTTTTAGCATTAGATTGAAGTCGGAAGCCTTTACTTGAAATCACTATCTCTTTACCGTTTTTTGGAGAATCTTTGAAAACGAACTGAGCTATGTTCACAGATGTCCACCGCTATCTCTGTTAAAGTCGTCCTCCTCCCACTAAACACCTAGTGGACGAATTCGAATTTAAACCAGAGCACGCCGGCTGCGGCAAAGCGCGACACCTGGGCCCGTAGTAATCTACCCTACCAGGTGGCATCAAAGATGCCGGCAAGTTCGCGAACCTCGCGGCATGTTCGTGTTTCGGGCGCAAGCTAAATCTTGCTCTAGATTCTCGTATTTTGATTTGCTTTTCTCACACGAAATTTTGATGCCGCTGATATCCGCAAAACATCGACATCGCGCGGGTCCGAACCTGCGTGCATCAATCTTGAGCGCCCCCGCACTAACCATTCGACCACTCCTTCAATTTCTGCTGTCTGCCAGCAATTATAGCAACGCTGCCTAAGTAGTGAGCGCCTGTATGTGAGCATAATCAGTACAATGCGCGATGGAAGTTGACCTGAAAAAACAGCTGACTGATAAAAGCGAACGAGAGACGAAACCGCTGCAAATGAGATTTGAAGCAATTGCAAAATAAAAATGGCGTTCATTATGGTTTTATAATATCAGCAATCCTTTCTTGTGCATAAATATCATCAATTTGGGCGTGAAAAACCCATGTGATGGCGAAAATGATAGTTTTTTGATGGAAAATAAATTTTTTTCGTTCTTTCGCTGGACGTAAATTGTGTGATATCGCCGCGCGACGCATTTTCACAGACGCCGTCGGCAAAGGTGCCGGCATCTGAACGTGGTAGGGGCACGTCCACATTCCGGCAGGTCGCACTCCACAAACTACACACTATTTCCTGCACTTTCTGACCTGCCGGCAGGCTGCGAGCTGGATGGCATCTCAAATTTCGACAAAAATAGATCGTGAACCTGCCGGCAAGATCACAATTCGGGCCAAATAAATGGCAAACGAGGACATTTTTTGGATTTCCTTTCAATTCCGATACTAATTCGGCAGCAAAACTGGACCGTAACACAAAAAAATAGATGATCAGCTTGGCTTGGGGGTCCCCGAAGACAGTTTCAGCTTTTAGAGACGTCCACATCAGGGCGACCTCAGAGCATGAGATGCCGGCAGGTAGGGTGGATTACTACGGGCCCTGCAGCTCTCACTTCAATCTCACACAAATTTTTTTGTGTTTTCGCGACGTTTCACCCTAATTTTTGATTGCTGACAGTCTTCTTCTTTCGTATTGAAATTGCTGCTTTTATGTGAGCGATGGATTGTGCTGCTATGCTCGTTTCTTTGACTACAACTCCAAGTTGAGCCTGTCAAAACGACTAAGTTTGAAAACTGGTGAAAGTTTACTCGTTAAGTCTTGAAATGTTGCTTCATTAAACACTTTATGTCAAAAATTCTCTATGTGCATGATCTTCCAAAATTTCCTGAGAAACAGAATAAAGAAACGAGCATAGTTGTAAGAAACATCGCTAGGCAACAGAAAATTCTTCAATTCTGATAACAGTCATCATTAAAACAAAAAAATCACAATGCAACGATAATGAAACACAAAAGAAAACTGCATTATGCTCGAAATGCATTTGATGGTGCCGCGCTTTGCCGCAGGCGTGCTCTAGTTCAAACTCGAATTCGTCCACTAGGTGTCTAGTGGGGAGAGAGCGACTATATATGGGCGACACCTGTGTTACCACTGTTCAATTGATTATTTCAATGTTCTTGCCTTTGTTCGTTCTTATCCAGTTGAATACATGAGTAATCGCTTACAGTCCAATTTTTCTGCTTGCGAACTCCGGCTAGCAAATACGGTTTTTTTCAATCCTTGCATTCTCCCGTCACTCGGGGTCTGCCGCTCTTGTCAATCTTTTCCATTCTTCTCGGTTCAAGGCCTGCTCTTCTCTTCTACCAAGCTCTTTCATATCTGCTTTGACTTTATCTAGCTATCTCATCTTAGGTCTTCCTCTTGGTCTCTTCCCTGGCACTTTCACTGACGTGGCCAATCTCGTAATGTGGTTTTCTTCTCTTCGGCTCATGTCCATACCACTGTAGACGTCTTTCTTGCATCTTCTTTACAATGGATGCCACTTTCATTACGCTTCGTATAGTGTCATTCGGGACATGGTCTAGCATCGTCACTCCTGTAGTCCACCTCAGCATTCGTGTTTCCATTACACTGATCATTCTCTCTTCGTCACGTGTACATGGCCAGCATTCGCTTCCGTATAGGGCCGTTGGTCGAACTATCGTGCGATATATCAGGGACTTCAGCTTTCTTGGCATCCGCTTATCACATAGGACTCCTGTGGTGCTTTTCCACTTCATCCACGCTGCGTTCACTCTACTGCTTATCTCATCGCGGAGGTTGCCATCTGCGGAGATACGGCTTCCAAAGTACTTAAAGGAGGTGGTCTTCTTGAGTTGCGTGCCTCCGGTCTGGTTTGGTGTCTGTGTTCCCAGTTCCATATACTCCGTTTTCGTCGTGTTTAACTTCAGTCCATGCATCTCAAGCTAATCCTTCCACTTCTGCACTTCCATCTGGAGCTCTCTTCTGCTTCTTGCCAGTAGGAGAACATCGTCTGCGTACATGAGCGTCCATGGTGGTTGTCGTATGAAGCCGTCGACCACTGCATCCATGACTGTGTTGAACAGGAGCGGTGAGAGTACAGAGCCTTGGTGTACACCGGCTCGTATCTGGAATTCTTTCGTCGGTCCCGCTGCTGTCTGTACGTGGCTGGTAGCATTCTTGTAGATCATCTTCGTTTATTGCACGTACTCTTCTGGCACCTTGTGCCGTAGTGCCCACCATATGATGTCGTGTGGTACCTTGTCGAACGCCTTCTCCAGGTCGAGGAACGCCGCATGTAGTTCACATTGCTTCTTCCTGCTTCTTTCTATCATTATTCTGGCGGTATGGACGGCATCTGTTGTGCTACAGCCCTTCACGAATCCACACTGATTGGGAGCTAGTTCTATGATGCTTCGGAGTCTCGTTTCTAGTATTCGTTCGAAGATCTTCAGCGTGTGACTCGTTAGACGTATGGGACGATATGTGGAGCAATCGACTATGTCTCCTTTCTTCTTTCATACTGGAATCGTTGTGCTTCTGCACCAATCGCGCGGCATCTTCTTGAATTCGATCATCCGATTGAGAAGCTGTGTTAGCCAAGTGATTCCAGCTTGTCCGCACCTCTTCCAGAATTCGCTGGGGATGTCGTCTGGGCCGGTTGCTTTGCCGTTCTTCGTCTTCGCTATGGTAGAGGCGGTCCTTGTACCGTCTCAGCTACTATGGTAGATGACATTTGGTAGCTTGTAGATGCTATTCTCTCGAAGTGTGCTCTCCATCGTTCGCTTATCTTCTCTGGACTTCTTAGAATTCTTTCGTACTCGTCTTTGGTGTTGTAGAAGTGGTTTGTATCTTCCTTGGCTTTTGCTCTTCTCCTTGTGATTCGGTAGATATCACGTTCGCCTTCTCGAATGTACAGCTTTTTGTAGAAGTCTGCTATGTACGCTTCCTTCGCTTCTCTTACGCTCTTCTTTGCTGTAAGTTTTGCGTCTACATATTTCTGATGATCGTCTTCTAATCTTGTCTTCTGCCACAGCTGGTATGCGAGCTTCTTACTCTTGATCACAGCTTGAACATCCTCATTCCACCACCAAGTTTCTTTGTCAAGTCTTGGCTTTCCTGGTTTTGTAAATCCCAGCAGGTTTCCTGCCATCTGATGAACGTTCTTCTTCAGATTCGTCCAGGAATGCTCCGATTCGTCTTCTAGGAGTGGTAGGGCTGATTCCATAGCAGCTTTGGATCGAGCGTCGTCTTTGAGCTTCCAGCACTTGATGCGTATTCTGTCCTCCGTTATTGCCTTTCTTCGATTCTTGACTGTGACATTCAGATCTAGAATTAGTGGTCGATGTTGTGGTACACATTCTTCGCAAGGGATCACTTTGCAGTTCTTCACGTACTTGAGCTCCTTTGGTCGTACCGCCCAGAAGTCTATTTGCAATTTTCGATTTCCGCTGGCATACGTTACTAGGTGTTCGCTCATCTTGATGAAGTAGGTGTTTGCCAACGCCAATTCATGAGCGGAAGCGAACTCCAGAATTCGATCGCCTTCTTCGTTGCGGATCCCATACCCGTGATTTCCGTGACTTCTACTCGCACCACTTCGCTGTTCACCGACATGGCCGTTAAGATCTGCTCCAATCAGTAGCGTTTCTTCTGAAGGTACACATCTGATGTAGTCATCTAGTTCTTGCCAGAAGCCGTCTTTCTCTTCTACCGTGCAACCTGCTTGGGGTGCGTATGCGGTAACTATTCGAAGAGCTCGCTCACCCACATCTAATGTGATGCCCATGAGCCGGTCACTCAATCGATCTACACTTGTTATACTATCTCTTGACCGTTCGGAGATGACTATTCCGATGCCGTTTCTTTTGCTGCTTGTTCCTTTATATAGAAGCTTAAAGCCGTCTCCTATATCGCGTGACTTCTCACCCTTCCATCTGGTCTCCTGGATGCAGGCGATGTTTACTCTACGTCTTCCAAGAAGATCAGCCAGTTCTCGATGTCGTCCTGTAAGAGATCCGACGTTGACAATGGCCAATCGAAGAGGAGAGAACTTGGACCGTTGGTTGTTTCCATGATGAGCTAGCTTCTTCAGCCGTCCCCGCTCATCTTGTTGGGACGGTAACCCTCGTTTGCTGTTCGCATCTGTCGGGCTCAAATGCGCGTCGCCTCCGGGGAACGCCCTAGCTTTTACTCGAGAATCCTGATAAGACATAAAAGAGCATTTTTGATGCGACGGGGTTTCTTCTTCAGCCGGCTTGTCGCTTGCTTTCCTTTGGATCAGCAGCCTGACACTGGATTCGTGGGCAGAGCTTTTTGCCAAAGAAATTAAGCCCGCCGCGGAACCGAACCTGTGACCTTCCTCGCCGTGGTCAAGGGCACTAATCTCTCGGCCAGCTCTGCCCTCGGCTGGCGAATACGGTTATCTACATCATAAAGGTAGCAGTAGGGCAAGCGCAGCCACCAGTCAGCGATTTCGCGAATGCATTAGTAAGTGCGAGTAAAAAGGATTAAGAAAGGAAATAAGTTACAATGAACAACGGCAACGTCAGTAAATCTTGTAACGCTAGTAATACATAACAATAATGACACTGGTAAGATTGGCAGGAGCGGTAACAGTGGTAACATCGGTAAAAGCGGCTACAGCGGTAATATATCTCCGAACCCTAAGGCTTATGTTATATTCTTTTAGAAACTGCGAAGCAGAAGTGTTGATTCGTCAATCCGCAATGGTGGCAGCACATCACAATGTAAGGAATCGTTTCAGAGATATGTATTTTTTATGGATTGTGCCTTTAGTCCTTCATCCTCCTAAAGAAGACTACCTTTATGGAAACGCGAAACTTCTACCGAAGTGGACCAATAAAGTATCACCAAGTATGTATTTCGATAATCCAGTCAAGGTTGTAGCATTTAAGAGCTCTCAAATACTTTGAAACAGTTGGCAAAATCAAAAATATGCTTACCTTTATATCTCCCGTCTGTGCGGGAAATAGCAAAAAATTTCGGTTTGCTTAGTGATAGCAAGAGAATGATCACAATTCAAGGTGGCCATTCCAAACAACTGCATACATTGGATGAAGGATAGATCGCTAACACCATAGCTGTCTTTCGTATGTGCTAAATGGCTTTATGGGCGAGTTTAGAGTCTTGTTGCAACAAAATCGTATATACGTAATGCAGAAATCAAATACTGAATGCCTTTTCAGCTAACCTTTATGGGTAAATTCTATAAAGCAAATTAATTGTTTATTTCGGTTTAGCATCAAGTTAACGGAACTGTACGCTCAAATTTTCTAGTTTGAACTATTTGTTTGCAACATAATGGCCCGTAGTAAACCCCCCGTCAGTGCATCTCCTCTGAGGCAGGCTTTGGTTGGTCTTACAGCGCTTCAGCACGGTGTCAATCAAGCCATCGATCCGGATGCGGATTGTTCGTAGGTATAATAAAAACTGCGTATTCTCAAAGAAAAAACAATCTGCGAGAGATTGTGCAGGTTTGGTCAAATGGCTAAAGCTAGTGTGATACACGCGGCAGCATCATTCGCAACCGGCAGGTGCCGAAATTTTTGCTATATCGCCGGGGCAATCTTTGATAGCAGCCACTATCAAAAAAATCGCTGGTGGGCGCTGTCTTTGCTGCGCAAACGAGGACATAAACCCGATACAATAATTTAGCATCAAGATACATAAAAAATCATGATTTTTAGAAAAGGAAGAGAGAGAGTTTGATCTCCATTTCAAGCATTTTTCGAGGAATGTAAAGGTTTGATCGACATAGCCCAAGCCGACACGAAGTATGTAGAAAAAACTTTATATCCCATTTTTGCTGCGATCACCTGTCCATTGATCATCCCCATCCGTATGCTACCCTATTTGTGCAATTTCGGGCACTGTCGTCCGCAGAATCAGCCAGCTGACGTGTCCCGTAAGTTACCCACGAACAACTTACGGGAATTGTGTCTGCGTCTCCTTGCAGACCCACGACACTATCTCCGTAAGCCAGGCGGACGGCGGCAGCTTAGCTTAGGGCATGCAGCGCAGCTCATTGCGGCAGCTGACCGGCCCCTTGGCTGTCAGCTCACCGTCCATTCTTAATACACTGTAGCAAGGGGGATCGTCAGATTAGCTTACGGATCTCTTCTGAGGGGGTCAGCGCAGATCATCTGAGCTGAGAGAGGGTTTACTACGGGCCAACAGTTTATGACTTCCTCTTCGGAGGTGTTAGCAGAAAATAGACTTGAAATCAGCATATCACGTTGGATTCATCGGTATGCAGCAGGCTGAAAGTCACTTCACTTTTGAATTCTCCTCTAAGAGGTTTTTGCTTGTGAATTTTATTTTAATTCAATCTTTAGCCATTCAGTAAGCCAGGAGTTTCAAAAATACTTGAGCATTTTGCAATTCCACGCAAACTCTGGTCCACTAGCCTCAAAAGTGGAACATCAGGTGCAGTTCGTTCAAGTGTTTAGTACTGCCGTGCCGGCCGCAGGGACAGCACGGATTGCAGCATCCGCAACACCGCTGTAGCATGAATGTAAAAAGAATCGCAGTTCCATCAAAACGTCTAACAAGCGTGCAAGAAAATTTGTCCACTTTGTTTTCTTACAAGAGGATACTTAATGACCGAGGCCATTTGTAATGATTTGTATATAAAAAAGTTGCTTTTGATGCTGGTTCGAATATGTTTTCCATATCTGCAAAACAGTGGGGAACCAAGTGGGGGCGGGGGGGGGGGGGAAGGGCGGGGGAGGGGGGGGGGGAAGTGACTTATCTGTACCTGCAAATATTTAAAATGATTTTTGAAATTTAAAAAAAATTCATTCAGCTTTATAAAAGGAATTTTTTCGGGGGAGTGGCTCAAGCTACGCCCCTTTTATAAATTTCGGGGTTCTGAACCCGCGAAAATTTCAAGGAGCATACCAAATAATTTTTCGTAGTGCGTGACTGACACCGCGCACCTTCATCAGAAAAAATGTTTCGTGTCGCCCCCTCCCTCCCTCCCCCCCCCCCCGAGCCGAAATCCTGGGTGCGCCATTGCTGCGAAGCGATAAGCTGGATAGAGTTACGATTATTTTCTCATGAATAAATTGCGCTACTGTGAAGGATCAAAATCATCAATAATGAATTTTCTTTCCTTTTCAAATGTTGAATATGATTTAGATAAGTATAATACAACAGTATAAATATCAAGATTCTGTTCAATAAATTCAAACGATAACCTAGAACAAATTTGGTGGTTTCAACTACCCAAAAGTACATAAATTTTCTACAAAAAATTCATAACTTCCTTCAAAAGGTCGTTTCGCAAATGTCGAGCACAGATTTAGAATCAGCGTTTCGAGTTGCATCTTATGGTATACATCGCATTCCAGATGACCACGGCCACCGAGTATCCTTTCCTTGTTAATGAGTTTCTCTTAGCTTGTTCATTATTGTGTTCGTTTTGGCTCTAGCTGTGTTCTTAATCATGAGCTTGTTCTTCATTTTGTTCGGGTATTATTTTAGAATAGATGACATTTGCTCCTGATTTTGATGAGAAAAAAAACGCAGGATGATAGAAAGATGTACTCGCTGAATTACCCACTGTAAAGCCACTGCAGTTTTGCGCATCCTAGCTTCAACAATCAACAGATTTGACGAAAACCTAGCAGGTGGCAGAGTATCTTAAGTTGTCCTGAAGGTTCTGTCCACTTTTTTGATTGTTCATCAAAACTCATAGAGCAATGACCGGCGTCCAAACCAATTGATCAAGAATTATATCTTTTTTGGAAGCTACATTTGCTCTCTGATCTATGCACTTCTTCTTGCGGGAGCTCTTCGAGCAGTTCAGTGGTGAAAATAAATTTTTAATTAATTTTTGATTTTGAAACTCCAATCTAAATAGGAAAACATGGGCCACATTTTACTTGTTTTAGATTATATAGACCAAGTTTTTAAAGCTTGTAATAATCGTTTATTTCGGAACCTTGGCTTTTTGAGCATGTGTAGCGTAAAAGACACCGAAAATTCCAAAAAGCGCAATTTTGAGGCAAAACCTGATTATTTTGATAAGTACAACAAGCAGAAACCTTAGAAGCTTTCATGTTTTTGCTGCAGTTGTGCATTTCCTAACTCTACCAGAAATCAAACCTCTGAAAAAATAATTTCTTTGGAACTCCTATAATACTGGACATACTCTATCTGTGTCACACTTAGTCCTTTCTGAAACTTTCGTTTTAAATTTTGTAAGGCGAACTTTAGACAGTTGAAAGTGACGAGTGTGGAAGTCTAGTAATTACCAGAAGCTTACAAAAGTTGTTAAAATGTAACGTTATAAAGAGAAGAAAAGACTGCATTGATTACGTGTTTAGGTCTTTATTATACAATGTCATATAAAAAGAAGCAAAACTTACAGAAAACCTAGTACACCTTCAGACCGGAGTTCGAACATGAACAGCTCTAGACAAAAACGCAAGAATCAGAACCAAAATAGGCGTGATAATAGCTTGCAAAGATTCGATTGGAATCATCGAAATTAGAGATCATGACTTTTTACGAGTACTTTTTTGTGTTTTGCCGTAATTACTGCCACTGTTCATTTTCTACACTCTGGCTGACAGCTGCTGCAGTCAGTATGGCAGTCTGAAAACCTAAAAGGTGAAGGTAAAAAGGCAGGGGATCCTTTTTGAGACAAAAGTATGAAGCACGAATCATCTCAAAAGGTGATAAGCGACAATAACTTTGAAATAAATTAATTAAGTTTGTAGGTCGGCCGAAAATAGAGCCTGTCTTTGCACTAGAAGGTTTTTAATCTTAGCTATTCATGGTTTGATAGATTTGAAACGAACTTCACCCTTAAAAAACCTTTGCAGTGTCAGTAAACGACAAGCGCAACTTTCAACCGAGCAAAAATTCTGCGTCACTCAAACAACTGCCAGAAGCTGTGAATAATGAACAGTAAGTTTTGCACATAACTGATATCTTTCATACTTACGAGAATGAAAATTCTAGCGTTCTTTACTCTTCTTCTTGAAATCTTGAGTGAGTCTATTCAGGGTCAAGCCGCGAGAAAATATTCAATTCAAACTCATGGTTTTCTTGTGTTGAAAATTTTAGGTCATTTTAGTCTATAAATACAGAGTGTCCCAAAAGTAAGTACACACTTTTCAGTCGTTAACATCTCTCTTTCCGTTTCGTCTTTTTCCGTTATTCAAGTACCATTCTGTAGAGAAGGCTTCAACTTGAATTTGCGGTATCGAGCGAATCACCGATCGCCTTCATCACTGTAGGATCACTGTAGGAATTCGACAAGGATTTTAGGCCAATAAAAGCCACATTCTGTCGGAACAAAATCAAACAAGCCAAAAACTCTTGTACTATGGTAATGGAAGCCGCTGATTTTGAGTACGAAATTTCACTTTACTGGGGTGCTTCTTTCCAAAATGATTCCAGGTAAACCGTAACCGAGTTCCCAGTACTAGTCAGAAATGTGATTACACCATCTAAAAAGCTAAAACCCTCGTGAAAACTTGTGTAGTGGAATCAGCGTGCGTAAAAACCCTAGTACTCGATTTTTCAGATTTTTTGGAAAAACTTTTGTCCAATGGCATATTTCACAGTGCTTCCATATGTTGGAAGTTCTTACCGTAATCCTACAGTAACGAAAAGTGATCGATGATTCGATCGATGCTACATGTCTAAGTTGAAGCCTCCCCTACAAAATAGTACTTTACGGGCAAAAAAGACCCATTGGGAAGAGAGATCTTGGCGATTGAAATGTGTGCACTTACTTTTGGAACACCCTTTATAATGTACCCTAATTTCACGCGTACAAGGCGCTAGGATTATTTTTCAAAACCGACCAATCCAAATACGCCAAAGAACTTCGCAAACAAAGGACCCTATGCCTTGCTATGTATTGCTTAAGAGAATCGTACGGCATAAGGATCGCTTTCTGAGATAATTTAAAGCGGCTGAAGGGCTTGGTCGAAAAATCGAAAAAGATGCGCCTTGTACGCGTGAAATTAGGTTAATATAAGTACTTTTCATAATTATAAAGCAACTTCAAAATTTGGAACTTCCAGAAGAGAGGAGATGATGCACTCCACTCAATAAAAGTGATAATGGATACCTTTGGTAATGGATAAAATGATATCGCAATCAATGCTATGATTCGCTTGCTATTCAGCAAATCCCAAATTTTGGAATGTGTGTTGTAATCATGAAACTCAGTGTATTTTAGTTACCCAGAAAAATCAGAAATCACACAACATTTTCACGGTGCATTTTAGAAAGAACACGACGAACGGGGTCAACAAAAGCCGCGAAAAACTTGAAAACTGGCGGCGTGTCTCCATGTCTGCAAATGAAAAAGTGAGTCTACCTATTCGACAATCTGACTTCATAGACTACTTATCCGCAGAAAGCTAACATCATTCAGCAACAGGAAAACTTTTTCTCAGACAAGAGAAGAAGCATTTCTACCTCAAATGGAAGTATAAACTGTACAAATTTGATCTCCGACGGCAATGAAGAAGAAGACGAACGAGAGCTGATAATCATAAAGTTTTAACTACAATGTGTATCCCTTTCAGTAAAAGTTCTTCTTCTTTGTACATGCTCAAAGCGTCAATTAAGCCATTCTCAAAAAAAAAATCATAAAGCTCTTTACATAAAGCTCTTTACCTTCAGGTTGCTTCATCTGAATTTGAGGCTTGCATATACATAGTAATATCTAAAAAGTATCCCATAATAGCATGTCGAATGATTCCCAAACCTTGTCAGCTCACTTAGAGCCATCGTCGAGGCAAAATTTATGCTCCCATTATCATTTAGTCTACAAAAGGGATCTAAGAATACGACGTCTGCGTTGGTCCGATCCTTTAATGTGACCTCTAAATGAAAAAATGGGCCTGGAATTGCAAGTGCTATCCCGCCTAAGAAGCTCCTCCCAGCCAAGTACTGAAAGTTGCCTGTGCTTCGAAGTAGGGTTCCCAGAAAGGGGGGTTTTTTTAGTTTTGCACATCTTGCGCTTCATATCTGTAACCAGGACAACGGCGCTCTAGAATGACAAAAACATGGACGAAACGTAAAACGAGCAGAAACTCTCAAAATTTTGATGCACATGAATTTTACATGTGAATAAGCTATAATTTTGGGCTGCCGGTGTAGCCGTTTGCCGGGCCTTCGGGGTGCTCGCGCTGGATTGTTATGCTCATTTCCGTTGGCGGATTAGGATGGATTGTTACTGCAGAAGTTACTTAACGGTATTACTACTTAGAAGTATGTCTTTTTTAGCTCCTTCCTAGTATTCATCTATTTCTGTGTACCAACCTCTATTTAAATTCCTTTGTATTCTTTGTGATTGATGTTTGTCTTATAATGTTTGCCTTTTCTCAATTCAACATACAGCACGCCTAAGTACAAAATAAATAAATAAATAATTTTGGCAGATATCGACCTGCGGGCGTAATCATCAATGAATTCAGTGAGTACGCACATTCGCTGGGTAGCTCGTCTGGTCATAGATCTTTCTTGTGTTTCCAAACCCACTAGCCTTGTGATTTCCATCACACCTAAGCACGAGATTTATGATCTCCAGATAAGCTTGAACACAGGGTTTCAGAACCTACCGCCTTTGTTTATGAGTTTTTTTTTATGAGTATGGCCACCCGAAGAAATTTGGCTTATTTGAGCTTGTACGTCCTACTTATCTCAGGTATAGCTTGGAGAGCTCAAATATGCTGATGACTTACTTTTCCTATGGCTCTCAAAACGTATTGAGTAGAGCAAGTCAAGACCGAGTCATCATAGGATGTTATAAGTGTAACTGCGTGCATATGCGGGATTGTCTGCATTTTGAAGTCGCTGGGGCGGATCGGGACGAAGACGAGGTCCGGAACTCCTCCAGACAAATCCTCGACTTTGCAGCTCTCTTTGCTCTGATACTAATTCCCCAGTTTGGAAGCAACGCTTATCTCAGCAACTGTTACATTGCCGAGGCGCTGCTAATAGGAAGGGATTAAGTCATTAACGAAAGGCTAACGAAGCAAGCTGCCAGGGCTGTTTAGAGGAAACGCATTTTTTGGAAAAGGGGAGGCACAAACGCCTTTACGAGGCTAATTAGAGCAAAAGGCGATTACTGCATCAAGAAGAAAGAGGTCTTTACGGGAACATCCCAAACTTTTTTCTCTTTTCTCCTTTCTCCTATTCTTTTCTCAAGTGTTAACATGTTGACGACAGTGTCGCGCAATGGTGTGCGCGACAGGCAGTCTGTCCCTGTGGACGATATCGCGCAATGGTGCGCAACACCAATACCAGTTCTAATGTGCACAGTGGCTCCAATTTGTGTTCACATAATCAATTTAGGTTCAGAAGTTTTTCATGTTGGCTCCGCCCTGTTTTGGCAAACTCCGCCCCCGTTCCCTCTACAATAAACTTTTCTCGTTCTCAAATCGCATAGAAAAGATCGTAAATAACTGAGTAACCTTAAATAATTTTAATTTTGACCCCGCCCCCATTATGCGGGCCCCACCCCTGAGTGGCAAGCTCCGCCCACTTTTCAAAAAGGCCGGAATTTGCACGAATTCAAGTGGGCGAAGCTACCCCGCTCGCTTGCATTTTTGTACCTCACGCATAGATGCATACATACATATATACATGCAGTCGGCTGTGAAAATGCCCGGAAACGTTCGTCCACAGGGACAGACGTCAAAAAAAACAGCTCGTCGTCAACGTGTTGAAGCGGTGAATTACTATCTGCAAGAAGTGTCGCCCAGACTTTGAAAAATCTAGCAAATCACGGTAAGAGTGGTTGCACCAAAACGGAAAATAAAGCAGAGAAAGAAAGGGTAAGAAGGATGAAGCGCGAAAAGTGTACAGTGTCAAAGAAAGAAGACTGAGCACGTAATGTTGAGTGGACGGAAAGTAAAGACAGTTTGATTTTTACTTCCAATTCTTTTGTCTTCAACCAGGCTGCAAATAAAACAACACTCGATACAACGACTTTCGCCTGTCATTTTGGTTATCACTCCTTTCAAAGAATCCTTGAGTGGCGGTAGAAGTCGGACCAAGTTTTAAAGACATATCTTATACATAGCTGCGCTGCTACACTGCAAAGTCACTGGACAAATAGCATACGTTTGAAAGGGGTACATGTCAAGAATAACGATAGCTGGCAATAGTGGCACCCTGAGGCCGGGTGTCAATAGACGGTGTACAAGTAGCATCTCCCTAGCAGCGGACGAGTTTACGCAGGCACCACATTTTGGAGCAGTAAATGCCCGAAGCGTTGTGCTTCTTCATATAAGCTTTATGTTAAGACTTCTGCTATTTTTTAAGAATGGAAATAATCAGTAATCACATCGCCATAAATTCGCGATAGTAATGTTTTGTGTCCAATTCAGCATGCGAATTATGTAAGCTTTGATGATTAATGTAGGAAACGAACTTTAATGAAAAGAACTGAAGTTTAGATCATTTTTCGGATTTCATAAATGAGTGAAGGCGGGTTGTTCTGCGCGCGCGAGCAGCTGGCAGCTAGCGGCTGGCAGAGCTATCGTTATTCTTGACCGCCACCCGTTTGAAAGTACTCTTCAGGATCTTTCAGAGGATTTTCTATTATAAATATTTTTGTTGACACCGATTAAAAGCAAAAAACTTGGCAAGTGCTATTTTTGGCGCAGTAAAAGCAAAAATAATGTTTTAGTCTTTACCTTAACGAAAATTGAGGTAAGGATAAGATAGATATATAGATATAACTCAAAAAGCTTTTCTGGGCGGTATCTGAAGAAGTTTGAAGTTATATAGCAACTTAAAGCAATAAATGTCAATCTCCTGACCTGCCTCAAGCCTTAGTACTTTTGAGCACTTATGGGTCTAGTGACAGCCAACTTTCTCAGTGCAGCAATGATATTTTGGGAGGCCGCAAGTAACTGAATGCTTGAATACTACTCAAAATTCACAATTGCTTGAAGTTAGCTTTGCGTTCCAAAGTCATAAAAATTGCTACACATACACATAAAGGCGGCCTTAGGTTTTACTTGAGAGAGTAAATTTTGTTTTAACAAGATTTGAGCGTGCAGTAAATCTCTTTCTTGTGAAAGCTACTAGTAACCTCAAACTGTCTCATTACTTTCCGTTTCCGTTTGCTCTTATAATACAGGTTATATGAAGTATCAAACTGCCAGCAACACTAAGGGCCGCATGCATTAACATCTCCGCCGGGGCGGGGATCGTTAAAGTTTAAAAGAAAGCTTCATATCTTGTAGCTTCAGATGTGTGGAATTCACACTCTTTACCTATCCGTAAGTACTCCTACTATCCTTTACTATGAACATATTGAACAGGAGCAAGAAGTTGTATGAAACGCATTTTGCAGCTTTTTGTGTGATCCCCTAATGATCCCCGACGGCCAACCGCTTTTCCTTCAAAATCAATTTTCTTTCTTCAATGTTGATGAAAACACTTCAAAGTTTACCAATCATCTAACCCACAGGCTAAGCACGTTGCTGATAAAAACCAGTGATGTACCGAATTCATAAAAATTACGATGAACAACAAAACGAAAGTTGGGATTTATTGAAATTTTCGATATTTTTTAAAAAATCGCTTGCTCCTATAAGAAACATGCTTAGAGCTGTTGGATTAGGTAATCGGTACAAATCTGAAGTGTTACTACATAAGTGTTACTACATACTTTGAAAAATGATAGATAATTTTGAAAGAAAGGACGGTTGGCCGCTGCGGATCATTAGGGGACCATGCAAAATGCTGTAAAGTGCTTGAACAACTTCTTACTTCTATCAGTACGTTCATAGTGAAGGATAGTAGCAATATTTTTGGATAGGTAGTGGCTTGAAATCCAGAAGTTTGGAGCTTCAGGATATGAAGCTTTTTTTGAAAGCTGCGATCCCCTCCCCGGCGGGCATGTTAATGCATGCGGCCCTAAATGGCACCCGATTTGCACGGTAAAGAGGTAATCACACGGCTTCAATATTTCCACCTCTGCCTTCCTTTATGCCATCCAAAATTTTGAAACAATTTTCGTCAGTTTGATGTAAGAACTGGTAATTAGGCTTACCCCATCACGCTGCTTCCAAATATGCTGGTTGTTTTGCATGGAACTTCGTCCTAACTTGTTCAAACGTTTCCAAAGAATTTGAAAAACAAGTAAGGAGGTAATTTATGACTTTGCGTCCTACTTTACCGATAGTTTTGCTTAAAAACTCAAAAATTTCAGCCCTTTCAATAAACCTTTTTCATAGACTCTTGGATTTGGAAAAAATGGGAAACAAAAAGAAAAAATCTGTGTTCAGAACTCTTATGAGTCCTTCGACCAGAAGACTATGTTCCACTGCTAAATCTAGCCCCATAAATAAAAATTGAATTTGTAACAAAAATTTCTCAAACCTGATATTCTATCAACACTTTCAATGACGAATTAGGGAAAACCTACGCGTTCTTCTCTTCTTTGTGATTTCTCAAAGCAATCTACAGCAAATGAGTTAATCTGGTCATAGCGCATGTAAGGTGGTCAGTTGGTCAGTTAGTCCACGGAAAACACAATTTGATCAGATCGGAACCTTCGGGATATGCAAGATGGATCCATTTGGCATTTGTATCTGTGATTATACTTTTGAGTTAT